CCCTCCCCTCCGCGCCTACAAAAACGCCCCCGGGGAAGCCCCCCCCCCCCCCAAAAAAAAGGAAAGAAAGGAATGATTGCTTCAGCGTGAGGTGGCCGCTGCTGGTGAGACGGCAGCCGTTTATCTTGGAGCAGGTGAAAAATGACGGTCGCGGCGTTGAGGGGAAAGAAAGGACGAAAAAAGGCGTGAAGGAGCTGATGGGGAACATGAGGTTGCAAAGCAAATGCTTTTGATTAAAGTCATTAGGAGTGATGCAGGGCGTAGATTGTTATCTGTCACGTGGTGTGTTTCTGGAACCTTTGAAGGAAACCTTGTCGTTCGGCTAATACTTTGTTGATCCCAGAAAATATGGATTATTGTGTTTGAGCAACGGGACCTGTTGTCTAATTTCAGTTTGGGGCAGGGGCGAAGCTAGAAATCTTTCAGTGGGGTGGCCAGGGTGACACAACACATCACTGAGGGGTGGCCATTGACACACATTTGCATTCACACACTGGCACATAGAAGTAATTTTTTTATCATACCAAAACAAGCATGAAGACATCTCAGTAAAGAGCAACGTTTTGCTCTAATGAATTCCCGTGGACGATGCCATTTCCTTTCACGTCGCTTTGCTTTTGTGTCGTATCGCATCGTCTACTTTTACCTCATGCACTGATTTGTTAGCTAACAATCAATCAGATTGTTCAACTTTCAAAAATGCCCAGCACCATTTTCTATACCGTGATCGATGGCTCATTCATTCAAACCATATCTAAAAAGCACAATGACACAAAGAGCTCTTAATTGTTCACAATTCAAAATGTTGTTTTTTTTTTTTTAATTTGGGATTCTTCCTGCTTGTATTATGAGTTTGTTGGACAAGATTGATACATGTGTGCCTTTCATTGAATGAAACCCTAACTGTGGATTGTATGATAAACAATCACTTCTCTGCCATGTTGGTTGCTTGCCATGGTGTGGTGTGAAAGAAAGATTTTGGTTGATATTGACTGTAAGATTCGGATGCTCTTTACTGAATGGTGTTTTTTTTTTTTTTTGCATTCAAATCAGTCTAGTTAATTTTTTGAAAATACAGTTGCTCTTTGTTGATTATTTATGTAAGAGTATTAAAGGGTCTAAGTGGCAGAAAAAAATGGCAGAAAAGTCACATGAAATGGGAGGGGTGACCATGGCGACCCTTGGCCACCATGTAGCTCCGCCCCTGGTTTTGGGTAATTGATGGGTGCCAAAAGAAGGTCCTCTTGAGGGAAAAAATAATTACTTGGGAAAGTTCAGGAACCTTGGAGGCAGATTCTGCAGCATTACACACGTATCTGATGATGGATATTTGTGGCCAGGTCAGAGGAGTGCTTTTAAAAATGTATTAAAGATGATGGATGGATGGATGGATGAACTGATTTCTACAATGATTAATAGGTTTCGATGCACTCTGATGTCAACGACATCAATTTCAAATATCAGCGGAGCGATGATTCTTATTCCTGTGCCTCACACAAATTCACTAAAACCGCACTACACAACATGCGCCATAACTTAGACCTGCTTTCACCTGGCCAAAAGTCTAATCTACTTTCGGTCACCAAATTGTAAGTTGTACCGGGTCCTGGAATAGAATGACAGAGAGCCAATCACAGCTCACCTGTTTTCTGAAACTGAGCCATTAATGGGTCATTACCTGAACCCCGAGCAACCCTGATGTCATTTTCAGTCAACAGCCAGTGGCAAAAAGGCCAACTCCTGATATCGACAAAAATGGGTGGATTTTGATGCTTCACTCATATTCCGCAAACATTACATTAATCATAATGCCCGTTTTTAGACTAGTCGGGCTGCATAGAACAGATCGTTGTAAAGAAAATTTCGGGTTCACCTCTAATTCGTGGTAAGTGGTGTAGCTGCAATGCATGCCATCTCTCTCTCTCTCTCTCTCTCTCTCTCTCTCTCTCTCTCTCTCTCTCTCTCTCTCTCTCACACACACACACACACACACACACACACACACACACAAAAGCACACACGTATGAGGGTGTTTACACGTGCTAATGGAGGGGATAATGATGTGAGCCGTCTTTGCCTTTCTAATGACGTAACGGTCGTAACCCAATGACCGCGGTGTGCTCATTTTCACCAATAGCACTCTTGGAAATCTTATGGCAGCAGTTGGTTGGGATTTTACCCACACCAAACCCTGCCCCT